CCATACTGGTATAATGGTTCCGCCCATACTGTTAGAATGGTCTCTCCCCCCCCCCATACTGTTAGAATGGTTCCGCCCATACTGATATTAAGGTTCTCTCACCTGCGGTCTCCTTCACTCTCTCCTCCTCCTCGTCCTCCAGCTCCTGCTTCCCTCGCGGCATGTTGCTCAGAGTCCTGTCTGAGTGACGTCACTACCCGGTCCCGACCCTCACGTGGCGCAGAGACTGTGCTGAACTCGGGGAACAGAGCCCGTCGGTAACCACGCCCCCAGCAGCCTAGCTGGCTAATCACAATCCCCGTCACAGACTGCGCGGCGCAGCGTAATGAAACGAGCTATTCCATTGGCTGAGCAGGGTGTGACGCGCGTGCGCGGGGACTCACTGGCTGCGCCCGATAGACTAATGGGAGTGAGGCGTGAAACGCACCTTGACATTCTATTGGTCAACGTTCGTCGTGCAATCGAGGTGTGAATCAAAACGCTCACTTGTTATTGGCTAAAACAGAAACGTCAATGTCTATTTGTCCAGAGAGAGTCTTGAAACGCAGACGTACGATGAATCCTGCTTTCTATTGGCTCAGTGCGATACCAGAAGGAGGCCTGACACTCATGCTGCTCTGTGATTGGTTACTTTAGTTGGAACGCACAGAGGGGCCCTTAACTGCTTAGAAGGCTGACAGAGGCACATTGTGTTTCCTTCCAGACAGAAGGGTCAGTGATGGCAGCTTCCCAGAGCCCCCTGTGACCAGGCCCTCCATAGAGAGAGACCCCCTGGCCTGCCCTCTGTGCTGTGTAAGGAGCCACCTGTGACCAGGCCCTCCATAGACAGAGACCCCTGGCCTGCCCTCTGTGCTGTGTAAGAAGCCCCCTGTGACCAGGCCTTCCATAGGCAGAGACCCCTGGCCTCCCCACTGTGCTGTGTAAGGAACCCCCTGTGACCAGACCCTCCATAGAGAGAGACCCCCTGGCCTGCCCTCTGTGCTGTGTAAGGAGCCACCTGTGACCAGGCCCTCCATAGACAGAGACCCCTGGCCTGCCCTCTGTGCTGTGTAAGAAGCCCCCTGTGACCAGGCCCTCCATAGGCAGAGACCCCTGGCCTGCCCTCTGTGCTGTGTAAGGAGCCCCCTGTGACCAGACCCTCCATAGACTGAGACCCCTGGCCTCCCCACTGTGCTGTGTAAGGAACCCCCTGTGACCAGACCCTCCATAGACAGAGATCCCTGGCCTGCCCTCTGTGCTTTGTAAGAATCCCCCTGTAACCTGTGACCAGGCCCTCCATAGACAGAGACCCCTGCCCTCTGTGCTGTGTAAGGAACCCCCTGTGACCAGGCCTTCCATAGGCAGAGACCCCTGGCCTCCCCACTGTGCTGTGTAAGGAACCCCCTGTGACCAGACCCTCCATAGAGAGAGACCCCCTGGCCTGCCCTCAGTGCTGTGTAAGAAGCCCCCTGTAACCTGTGACCAGGCCCTCCATAGACAGACACCTGGCCTGCCCTCTGTGCTGTGTAAGGAGCCCCCTGTGACCAGACCCTCCATAGGCAGAGACCCCTGGCCTGCCCTCTGTGCTGTGTAAGGAGCCCCCTCTGACCAGTCCCTCCATAGGCAGAGACCTGGCCTGCCCTCTGTGCTGTGTAAGGAGCCCCCTGTGACCAGGCCCTCCATAGACTGAGACCCCTGGCCTGCCCTCTGTGCTGTGTAAGGAGCCCCCTGTGACCAGGCCCTCCATAGACAGAGATCCCTGGCCTGCCCTCTGTGCTTTGTAAGAATCCCCCTGTAACCTGTGACCAGGCCCTCCATAGACAGAGACCCCTGCCCTCTGTGCTGTGTAAGGAACCCCCTGTGACCAGGCCTTCCATAGGCAGAGACCCCTAGCCTCCCCACTGTGCTGTGTAAGGAACCCCCTGTGACCAGACCCTGCATAGAGAGAGACCCCCTGGCCTGCCCTCAGTGCTGTGTAAGAAGCCCCCTGTAACCTGTGACCAGGCCCTCCATAGGCAGAGACACCTGGCCTGCCCTCTGTGCTGTGTAAGGAGCCACCTGTGACCAGGCCCTCCATAGACTGAGACCCCTGGCATGCCCTATGTGCTGTGTAAGGAGCCCCCTGTGACCAGGCCCTCCATAGACAGAGATCCCTGGCCTGCCCTCTGTGCTTTGTAAGAATCCCCCTGTAACCTGTGACCAGGCCCTCCATAGACAGAGACCCCTGCCCTCTGTGCTGTGTAAGGAACCCCCTGTGACCAGGCCTTCCATAGGCAGAGACCCCTGGCCTCCCCACTGTGCTGTGTAAGGAACCCCCTGTGACCAGACCCTCCATAGAGAGAGACCCCCTGGCCTGCCCTCAGTGCTGTGTAAGAAGCCCCCTGTAACCTGTGACCAGGCCCTCCATAGACAGAGACACCTGGCCTGCCCTCTGTGCTGTGTAAGGAGCCCCCTGTGACCAGACCCTCCATAGGCAGAGACCCCTGGCCTGCCCTCTGTGCTGTGTAAGAAGCCCCCTGTAACCTGTGACCAGGCCCTCCATAGGCAGAGACACCTGGCCTGCCCTCTGTGCTGTGTAAGGAGCCACCTGTGACCAGGCCCTCCATAGACTGAGACCCCTGGCATGCCCTCTGTGCTGTGTAAGGAGCCCCCTGTGACCAGGCCCTCCATAGACAGAGATCCCTGGCCTGCCCTCTGTGCTTTGTAAGAATCCCCCTGTAACCTGTGACCAGGCCCTCCATAGACAGAGACCCCTGCCCTCTGTGCTGTGTAAGGAACCCCCTGTGACCAGGCCTTCCATAGGCAGAGACCCCTGGCCTCCCCACTGTGCTGTGTAAGGAACCCCCTGTGACCAGACCCTCCATAGAGAGAGACCCCCTGGCCTGCCCTCAGTGCTGTGTAAGAAGCCCCCTGTAACCTGTGACCAGGCCCTCCATAGACAGAGACACCTGGCCTGCCCTCTGTGCTGTGTAAGGAGCCCCCTGTGACCAGACCCTCCATAGGCAGAGACCCCTGGCCTGCCCTCTGTGCTGTGTAAGGAGCCCCCTCTGACCAGTCCCTCCATAGGCAGAGACCCCTGCCCTCTGTGCTGTGTAAGGAGCCCCCTGTGACCAGGCCCTCCATAGACAGAGACCCCTGGCCTGCCCTCTGTGCTGTGTAAGGAGCCCCCTGTGACCAGGCCTTCCATAGGCAGAGACCCCTGGCCTCCCCACTGTGCTGTGTAAGGAACCCCCTGTGACCAGACCCTCCATAGAGAGAGACCCCCTGGCCTGCCCTCAGTGCTGTGTAAGAAGCCCCCTGTAACCTGTGACCAGGCCCTCCATAGACAGAGACACCTGGCCTGCCCTCTGTGCTGTGTAAGGAGCCCCCTGTGACCAGACCCTCCATAGGCAGAGACCCCTGGCCTGCCCTCTGTGCTGTGTAAGGAGCCCCCTCTGACCAGTCCCTCCATAGGCAGAGACCCCTGCCCTCTGTGCTGTGTAAGGAGCCCCCTGTGACCAGGCCCTCCATAGACAGAGACCCCTGGCCTGCCCTCTGTGCTTTGTAAGAATCCCCCTGTAACCTGTGACCAGGCCCTCCATAGACAGAGACCCCTGCCCTCTGGGCTGTGTAAGGAACCCCCTGTGACCAGGCCCTCCATAGGCAGAGACCCCTGGCCTGCCCTCTGTGCTGTGTAAGGAGCCCCCTCTGACCAGTCCCTCCATAGGCAGAGACCCCTGCCCTCTGTGCTGTGTAAGGAGCCCCCTGTGACCAGGCCCTCCATAGACAGAGACCCCTGGCCTGCCCTCTGTGCTGTGTAAGGAGCCCCCTGTAACCTGTGACCAGGCCCTCCATAGACTGAGACCCCTGGCATGCCCTATGTGCTGTGTAAGAAGCCCCCTGTGACCAGGCCCTCCATAGGCAGAGACCCCTGGCCTGCCCTCTGTGCTGTGTAAGGAGCCCCCTGTGACCAGGCCCTCCATAGGCAGAGACCCCTGGCCTGCCCTCTGTGCTGTTTAAGGAGCCCCCTGTGTAACCTGTGACCAGGCCCTCCATAGGCAGAGACCCCTGGCCTGCCCTCTGTGCTGTGTAAGAAGCCCCCTGTAACCTGTGACCAGGCCCTCCATAGACAGAGACCCCTGGTCTGCCCTCTGTGCTGTGTAAGGAGCCCTCTGTAACCTGTGACCAGGCTCTCCATAGGCAGAGACCCCTGGCCTGCCCACTGGCTGTGTAAGGAGCCCCCTGTAATCTGTGACCAGGCCCTCCATAGACAGAGACCCCTGGCCTGCCCTCTGTGCTGTGTAAGGAGCCCCCTGTGACCAGGCCCTTCATAGGCAGAGACCCCTGGCCTGCCCTCTGTCCTGTGTATGGAGCCCCCTGTGACCAGGCCCTCCATAGGCAGAGACCCCTGGCCTGCCCTCTGTGCTGTGTAAGGAGCCCATTGCAACCTGTGACCAGGCCCTCCATCGGCAGAGACTCCTGGCCTGCCCTCTGTCCTGTGTAAGGAGCCCCCTGTGACCAGGCCCTCCATAGACAGAGACCCCTGGCCTGCCCTCTGTGCTGTGTAAGGAACCCCCTGTGACCTGTGACCAGGCCCTCCATAGGAGCCTCCTGGGAGGGGGAAGAGGGGTCTCAGCCATGGCTCAGAATATACTTACAGCCAGCAGTGACTGGGGACATCACTATGGGCTGCCAGTATCCCTGTGTTACATGAGCCGGTGGGGATGCTGGCGGTATGGAGGCTGTGCTGGCTGTCACATAATGTCTGTGTTTCCAATAATGCCTGTGTTTCTGTATTGCAGGCTCGCTCATAGTACTGAGTCACTTTGCGCTGCGGCTGGACTGGCAAGACCGCTATCCTGAGGCAGTTTAAGTGTGTGGCGTGGCTTATGATTACAGCGGATAGGGTCTGTGATATTACCTGGTCGCCGGCTGAATCTGTGAGTCAATGAAATGCCGCGTAAGAAGCCATTTAGTGCCAAGCAGAAAAAGAGACAGCTCCAAGACAAGCGGGAACGGAAGAGAGGTGATTGCTATTTTCCACTTCTGACGTGCAAAAGAATGTTATGTCTGTTATATTCCTGAATTGTCTACTTTTATCCAAATTGCCATTCAAACTTTATCTATCTTTAAGTACAGGTTCTAAGCAGTAACAGTTTTTTATTTTAGGTTACAAATGTTCGCATAATATTATCATAACCGCCTAGCCGTTGGACAGTCTGTGTTGATGTGTTTTATCTTTCAGTGTAGTACGAAGAGTACTAAATAATCAGGACATTTCTTGTTTGCACATGTCTTAAAACTCCATATTTTTTGGATGTCTGTAAAGTCATTGGTCGTTTAAGGGTTAATAATCATCCACTCTCGTTGTTTCTTCTTCACAGGACCATTAGAGGCCGGTCGATCAGAGTCAAACAGTCGAAGTGAGAGCAGGGAGCGGGGTGAGGAGAACACTGATACATCAGACAGCGAAAGTATCAGACCCCAAGTCCGACGCATCAATCAACAACCCCATATAGTCCGACCTGGAGAGAAAGGATATGACCCGAATAGGTGTGAATAGGAATAACAATGGCAGTGTTTGTGTAATAATATTTCCCATAGGTTTTCCAGTCATAGTGTCAGCCTTTAGAGTCTGTATTATCTTGCTGTATTCAGGTGAGCTTGACCCTTGTGGGTACTTTGTGTATTGCAGGTACAGACTTCACTTTGACAGAGACAGCAAGGAAGAAATTGAGCGTAGGAAGAAAATCGCTCAAGAAAAGATCCTGGAGCCCGTAACAGAGGCAGAACTAGAAGTTGATATAGAGAAAATCTACAGACCGGGGTCTGGTAAGAAAAATAGCTGATCCTTATCTGATTGCCATGTCTGGGGGTATATTTATTATCTGTTGCATACCTGAAAGGGAGAGGGTATGCACTAAATCCATTAAAAAAAAAAATTTCCATTCTTTTTTATTGAAAATGTTTTTTTGTTTTTTTTTTTTCATTTTATCATACATATGACAAAATAGTTAAATTTACATACAAGACAAAGACAAGTGTAACAGTAACAAACATATAATTTACATTATTACAACTGTTCCAATCTTAATATCAGGTAATTCCCAAGCTAAACGGCTAAGGATATCTTAATAAAAAGATAATTTATATCTTATAGAACTATTGTGTAAATAAAAATAAATAAATATAAGTCAGTCCTTTAATTTAACTTAAGAAAAAACGCTTTACATCAGTTATCCTTATTATGACCTTTATAATTACATAATTAATTCAAGTGACGTTGTCACTTGGGATTTTTTTCATAATGACAGATTCTTAATGAAACACTGTTGGATTTTGTAAACATTTTTGATCCATTTTTTTTTGTAATTAAAATGTGTATATATATTTATTTGTCTCATGCGGGACCTGATATATGCCTAGATGTGACATTATGGATTGCCTCCGTTACCTCGTCCTGTCATTTCTGGGAGATGATGGGAATATGCATTAACTTACGAGACACACAAGATTTGCCTGGCATCTTATTGCACATACACATTGACAATTAGACAATGAAAACAGTGACTATTAAAACAGCATGCATACCTTGTTAGTTTTTATTTTACGCTCCACTAGTCCTCGTATTTTAACAATCTTTACTTCAAGTGATTATTCCATCTGATTTATTGGTTTTGCTGCAGTTTTAATGTTCAGCATAACAAGTTCTGTTTGTTTACATAGTATACGTTCTGAAAACGCACAAATAACTGCAGGGACCGCAGTCAAAATATATACCTCACAAATGCTTTCAAACCTACATTTACAATGTATTTTACACATCAATCTTGCCACTTTACTCTTTTTCATTTAATAACGTGGTAAATGGCTTAAAACAGATTTACATTAATCCCATGAAAAATCTGACTTTGTTCATTGCATTTTTCTTTTCATTGCTATTCTTATATGGACAATATTATTTTAAAGAATGTTAAAGGATCACTATAGGGTCAGGAACACAAACTTGTATTCCTGACCCAATAGTGTTAAAACCACCATCTAGCCCCCCCTGGGCCCCTCATGCCTCCATAAATATAGCAAAATCTTACTGTATTCAAGCCTGAAGCTGTAGCCCTGCATGCTGTTTGAATCCGATAAACAAGCAGTCTGCTGACATCATCAGAAGTGGTAGCCTGATCTAATCACAATGCTTCCCCATAGGATTGGCTGAGACTGACAAAGAGGCAGATCAGGGACAGAGCCAGCATGATTCAAACACAGCCCTGGCCAATCAGCATCTCCTCATAGAGATGAATTGAATCAATGAATCTCTATGAGGAAAGTTCAGTGTCTGCATGCAGAGGGAGGAGATACTGAATGTTTGGATGCATTTTAGGCAGCCATGACCCAGGAAGGATCTCTAACAGCCATCTGAGGAGTGGCCAGTGAAGTTATCACTAGGGTGTAATGTAAACACTGCATTTTCTCTGAAAAGACTGTGTTTACAGCAAAAAGCCTGAAGATAATGATTCTACTCACCAGAACAAATTCAATAAGCTGTAGTTGTTCTGTTGACTATAGGGTCCCTTTAATATTGTATATATTGCATAGATCAGGGGTGCCAAATAGGTAGATCCTCAGATGTTGTTGGACTACAGCTCCCTTGATGCTTTGAATGCCTTTAGTGAAAATGCCTGAGGATTTACCTTTTGGGCACCCCTGGTGTAGATGTTTATGTGTATGCATACTACAATTCACAAACCATATTTTCATCACTTCTTCGTTAAGGAGTTCTGTTGCCTTATTTTTTCTTTTCTAGCAGGCGTCTTTATGCATGAACACAAACAAAAATGTTTTGCCACTGTACTATATTTCACAAAAAAAAACATTTTTATTTCCCTAAAACAGTTCTCGATTTTCCAAAAAGGCCGGCCTGGGGTTACGAGATGAGTAAGGAAGCCGTGCTGTCCCAGGAGGAGAAGGCTTTCAGGGAATATTTACAGAAGATCTATGAGAACCACAGTCCTAGAGAATTGAGTTATTTCGATCACAACCTGGAGGTGAGACACCAGTTTTACCCAAACTGTTTGGAGCAAGCTGCTCTGGTTAGATTTCATCCACTGTGACTTTAATCTGCATGAACAAGTTCTCTCTTTTAATAGCTTGCCATCATAATCCTACTGCCGTCTGGAGGCTTTCCATAGGGAATTCTATGTTTTTTTGTTTTTTTAACCGTCCCATTCCATACCACCCCCCCAAAAATATTGCAATATGTCCTCCATCTATTCTTAGTTGCAAGTCTTTACTCATCTCTCACTGTGTATTTCAGACGTGGCGCCAGCTATGGAGAGTTCTAGAGATGTCAGATGTTATATTGCTTATAACAGACATCAGACACCCGGTAACTATTACTCTGATACTTATTTAGTGCTTTCATTTTGAAGTTCGTACGCTGTGTGCATCTTGCCTTGTAACTGTATTATAATATTTAATATCTGTCAGGTGCTGCACTTCTCTCCTGCCCTCTATGACTACGTCACAAAAGATCTGGGGAGATCTCTGATCCTGGTCCTCAATAAGACTGATCTGTGCCCACCATCCTTGGTTGTAGCCTGGAAGCATTATTTCCAAACAAAGTTCCCCGAAGTCCACGTGGTTTGCTTTACATCCTACCCCCGGCACCCTGAGGATGAGCAGGACCCCTCTTCAGGTGTGTGTGTGTATGGTATGATGGGTTGGGCTAGATCTTGGGGTCTTTGGCATTATCCACAGAATAATTGACTAAGATTTGTCCACACAAGATTTCTGATTGCTTGTGTTTTTTTTGTGTTTTTTTCAGTATTCAAAAAGCGTAGGAAGAGACGTAGGGTGTGGAGCAGCGCATTGGGCCCCAATCAGCTCTTGCGAGCCTGTGAAGTCATCACAGCTGGGAAAGGTACCATGATACAAATATCAGAAGCTCTCTTTCAGCATGCCATCTTCTCATTAAGCGGTGTCATGTTGTAAGATAAAGAACATGGTGTATGAAAGTAGTTTTCCTCCTGTTATTCATTATTGTATGTACTGACCGCTAACTGTCTTCTGAAACAGGTGTTTGCTTGTTTTGGTATTACACACATAGTCGCAACTTTTTGAATTGCTGGAATTGCGACAGATTCTTTTTAATTAGCTTGTATAACAATTTTTATACAAAATGTTATGTTTCCCCTTCTGTTTAACATAACTCGCCTAATGTATTTTTTTTATTGTGTATATGTACAGTATCTCACAAAAGTGAGTACCCTCTTCAGATTTTTGTAAATATTTTATGTTTTCATGTGACTAACACTGAATAAATGACACTGCTACAATGTAAAGTAGTAAGTGTACAGACTGTAGAACAGTGTAAAATTTCTGTCCCCTCAAAATAACTCCGCACTCAGCCATTAATGTCTAACCCGTTGGCAACAAAAGTTGAGTTCACCCCTAAGTGGAAATGTCCAAATTGGGCCCAATTAGCCATTTCCCTCCCCAGTCTCATGTGACTCGTTAGTGTTACAAGGTTTCAGGTGTGAATGGGGAGCAGGTGTGTTAAATTTGGTGTTATCGCTCTCACACTCTCTCATACTGGTCACTGGAAGTTCAACATTGCACTTCATGGCAAAGATCTGAAATAAATAATTGTCGCTCTACATAAAGATGGCCTAGGCTATAAGAAGATTGCCAAGACCCTGAAACTGAGCTGCAGCACGGTGGGCAAGACCAGTTTCACAGGACAGGTTCCATTCAGAACAGGTCTCGCCATGGTCGACCAAAGAAGTTGAGTGTATGTGCTCAGCGTCATATCCAGTGGTTGTCTTTGGGAAATAGACGTATGAGTGCTACCAGCATTGCTGCAGAGGTTGAAGCAGTGGGGGGTCAGCCTGTCAGTGCTCAGACCATACGCCACACATTGCATCAAATTGGTCTGCATGGCTGTCATCCCAGAAGGAAGCCTCTTCTACAGATGATGCATAAGATAGCCTGCAGACTAAGGACATGGATTACTGGAACAATGTCCTGTGGTCCGATGAGACCAAGATAAACTTATTTGGTTCAGATGGTGTCGAGCATGTGGCGGCAACCAGGTGAGGAGTACAAAGACAAGTGTGTCTTGCCTACAGTCAAGCATGCTGGTGGGAGTGTCATGGTCTGGGCCTGCATGAGTGCTGCCAGCACCGGGGAGCTACGGTTCGTTGAGGGAACCACGAATGCCAACATGTAATGTGACATACTGAAGCAGAGCATGGTCTCCCCCCTTCGGAGACTGATAACAACCCCAAACACACCTCCAAGATGTCTAAAAAAGTTAAAGGTGTAGATGATAGACTCGCCAAGCATGTCTCCAGACCTAAACCCTATTAAGCATCTGTGGGTCATACTCAAATGGAAGTTGCGGGAGCACAGGGTCTCTAACATCCACCAACTCTGATGTTGCAACCTGTGAAGCTCTGGTGAACTCAATGCCCATGAGGGTTAAGGCAGTGCTGGAAAATAATGGTGGCCACACAAAATGTTGACACTTTGGGCTCAATTTGGACATTTCCACTTACGGGTGTACTCACTTTTGTTGCCAACGGTTTAGACATTAATGGCTGTGTGTTGAGTTATTTTGAGGGGACAGCAAATTCACACTGTTATACAGGCTGTACACTTACTACTTTACATTGTAGCAGAGTGTCATTTCTTCAGTCTTGTCAAGTGAAAAGATATACTATATTTACAAAAATGTGAGGGGTGTACTCACTTTTGTGAGATACTGTATGTAAGTGTGTGTGTTTGTGACGAATGACAGTCAAGATCAGTAATTCTAAGGAAAAAGAAATCGGATTTTACACAGACACCCACAAAATCCGAATAGAAGCTCCTCGTAAAATATATCATGGTGATATATCACAAATTATTTTAGCTAGACCTTTTCATTTCTGTTACGTAAGAAACATGATAATGTCTGGATTTTGATGCTCACGTGCTGTAACATATTCCATCTATTATTTCTTCTTGTCTTTTCTATAATCACATCTCCCCTCTTTCTCACCTTTACCTGTTCCCATCTGCAGTTGACCTCACAAGTTGGCGAAGGAAAATAGAAAGAGACTCTGCAGCGCTATGTAACCCTGCCAACGACCGGGCGGAAAGTATAGTGGATTCAGGAGACGCCGTCCTCTCCCAGCAGATCTCCGAAGCAGAATTGGGAACACCCAGCCGAGAGCTCTACAAAGATGGAGTGCTGAGCATTGGCTGTGTGGGTGAGATGGGTCTGCTAAGATTTCTCAATTCCTTTTCTTTTATTCCTTGGAGCAAACCGTAAAGTCCACATCCTTCATATTTGTTTCAGTATCCTTTTTCTAAACTCTGCCTTTAAATTCTATTCTAATACTCTCCTGTGCTCTGTCCTTACGCCACAGGATTCCCCAACGTAGGTAAGTCATCCATAATAAATGGGCTTGTGGGTCGGAAGATTGTTAGTGTTTCACGGACTCCAGGACACACCAAATACTTCCAGACTTACTTTCTGACACCTACCGTACGCCTCTGTGATTGTCCTGGACTCATCTTCCCATCTCTCGTTGATAAGCAACAACAGGTAAGTGCACATTGAAAGCAATACAATAGGAACATTTCTTTCTGTGAGTAGTTAATGACATCTGTCTCCGCATTGAAAATGTTTGCGCTCTTTGTGGGAGCTGCTAAAAACTTGACCTTCTATTGATTAGTGGCATTTAGTCGCATAGACCCGCTGTGTGATTTTAGAAGTGTGCAATGTCGTAACCTTTCAATAAATGGGGAAAACCATGCTTCCAGGTTGGATTAGGCTGTACCGTATGCCACCGCTCCACATGCAGGGTGCTTGGTTGCGCATATAATATAACCTGTGTGCGCCTGTAATCCGCTCCTCCCCTCCATACGTACACACTTTTGCATTTGGCATAGATGATATTACTAAATATGGTGTCAGAAGTGCCACAAGAATGTATTTTATTTGTGTAGTATTATTTCTCAATATGACATAATAGGCAGCTTATCTTTAATAATCTGCACTGACTGTAAGTGTGTGTATTTATTTTGTATGTTTTCGCTCTGAGTTTTGATTCATTTTCTCTCTAACAGCTTCTTGCTGGGATATATCCAATCGCTCAGATTCAGGAGCCCTATACGTCAGTGGGATACCTGTCCTGCCGAATAGCTGTCCCACAGCTTCTCAAGCTTTCATACCCCAACGGGGTAAAGAATGGTTGGACTGCCTGGGCTATTTGTGAGGGTGAGTGACTGATTAAATCTTAAATGCGTTCTTTGTGGGTTATTAGTCACAAAGTGATTTCTCTCATTCTGAATCTTTTTCCTCTTAGCTTGGGCTGATAAACGAGGGTATAAAACTGCAAAGGCTGCTCGCAGTGACACGTACAGAGCAGCTAACAGCATCTTGCGGCTTGCTGTGGACGGGAGACTTTGCATGTGTATGAGGCCTCCGGGGTACACCCAGCAGAAAGGTAATGGTAACATACCCTCCCCACTTGCCCCTATATCCTCTTTTTATCTTTATTCTGTGCCCACATCTTGTCTGTTAAAACTCGCCCTTCTCCCCTCAGAGTCCTGGGAGCAGCATCCAGAGACTCTGGAAATTGTAGCCCATATCCAGGCCCAGGGCCACCCAAATGATGACTTGTCTTCAGGTGGAGAAGAGGAGGAGGAGGAGATCTCCAGTTCTGGAGAGGAAACAGAGGAGCGAGACCACGATGCTGATGAAGAGGAGGATGCAGAAGAAACCCCAACACCATCTCATTCTAAGAAAGCTGGAAAACCCAAAATGTCTGATTCAAACCCTTTTGCCCTCCTGGGGGAAGACGAGTGTTAAATTTGGCATGGGGAGGGATTAAGTATATGGGTTCATGCTTTGTAAGAGGCAGTTTTTCTGCGCCCATTCATTTTATTTCCCTTATGTATTATCCTTTCATGAGTTAGGTTTGGTCTCCGTTAAAATGGCTGACTTTCCGAGCTCAGTGACTGAGTGAGCAGTCCTAACTCGGGATGTTCTGCTTACACTCTACCTGGCTGACCTAAACTGAGAGTGATTTTTGACGGACATGATTTGAGAGGAGAGCACAAAGTAAGTGAGAAGCTTGGTTCTCTAGAGCAGTGCAGGGTTAAGGGATTACCCAGTTCTTTTTGCGTGAAGACTTCCAGTCCATTAAAACATTGAAAAGACACGTAGCTTTGTTTTGGAGGGGATGCAGGAGGTTAGGTTTCCAGGAGCAATGGCACCATTTTAATCTGTTACAATATCTCCAAATCTAGATAGGTCACAATATAAAATGTCAGATGGTGGTCCAGTTGCCCTGGGTGGGCTCTTACAAATGATTCCTGTATGAAATAAGATTCCTGCTGTATTACAACTCTTCCTTCTCCCATTTTCCCAGCAAGTTCCCTAATCTAGCCACATATTTCAAATGGCTGTTGATGAAAACCCTCTTGTTTAAGGTTTGGCGTGTGAAAAATGTATTTGCTGTGTAATTGAGGTGATCGTGTGATACTAACGACCTGATGCTATCATTCTGAGTGGGGCTGTGATTGGCTGAGAATGCAGAGTTTTCTCTAAGCTCATGCCTGACGTGTGATTAGCAGGGGATTCCAATCATTCCCACTATCCTTCTATCGGCCCTTATTTTGTCTAAAGTTATTTGTCCAAAGGACTAAAGCAGTAGCTCAGTCTGTCCTGACAATATACATGTCCTCACCCACAAACTAATTTCATGTTTGGGCACCTGCCCTGGATATTGTCAGGGTATTTGCCAAACTGTGAATTTTTCTGAGTTAAATTCAGATGGAAAAAGGTTTATCTGGAAAAGAAACATTAACTCTGTTAATCTTTTTCCTCTGTTTTCCATTCAGATTTAGACCTCGATTTTAATATTTGTTTTGAATAATTTGAAAATCTTATTCAAACATATTACATTGAGGCCTTAATTGGTGAAGATTCTGATAGTCTCATCCTCTGCCCACGTGTGTGTGTGTGTGTGTGTGTGTGTGTGTATGTAGTGTAAGTGTGTTCGGATTGTGTGTAAGGTTTTGCCCCCTCCACATCACTCTTGTTTTCCATTTTATTTTTTAGCTTCATTCCCACCCCCATTTTTCAATTTCCTGGTAAAAGGCAATTATTGATATTGGCACTGTGAGGTTTATATACTAAATCTTGAATTGAAAACAAAATCTGCAGAAATCGCTCAGCTGAACAAATTCTACTTTATTCCTAAATCTGCAATTTTGGTATTGCAAATTTTCTGTGAATTCCACCTAATTCACTATTTAGGGAATCGCTTTTTGGCTTTTCCAGCTATAACATTTCATAAAATATGACACATTGAAAGGGGACCATAGCGCCAGAAAAATCTGAAACTACAATTTCAAAATCTGACCAATTATTGAAATACAGGCATTTAAAAAAAAAAAAAAAAAAAAATCTGTTCACTAAACCAGATACTAAGGAGAATTGAATGTATATTGAAAACAATAAAATACAATATACACTTATATTTTTTTGTGCCACAGTTTAGCAAAAAAAGTTTGTGTTTCAGAATTTTTCCATTGAAGCTATTTTGGAGTAAACGTTACCATTTGTGGTTTGTGCGTCAGATTTGGGGACGTTTGACGATCTGTTCAATAAACCTGTTGACATTCCGCAGTACTGTCCGAGTGGGCTAGGTATTGGCAGGGATTATAATCCTGTTGGGATATAAATAAATGCTGTACTTGGCTGAGAGGGAGGGACTACAATTCTCAATATCCAGCAAACTGCTACAATCAGCTGAGAACAAAAGAAATCTGTGCTTTATTTGAAGAGCAGGTCCTTCCCTGCTCCTGACCTTTGCTTTTCAGGCATGATGGCCTCTCCCTCCCCTTTGCTTCAGATGTCTATTTTGCTGTATACAAAATAAATATAATTCTATTTAATGATTCCGGAGGCGGTTTTTATTGCTAGTATTTACTAAGACTGTTATTCTAAGTGAATATGTGTGCGCTTGTCCTGAACCTGTCTAATGTACTTGGTTATTCTCTAACCGGCAACTGCAAATTGTAGGTTAAAAAAAGCTGATCTACAACATGGCTGACTTGGAGAATTCTTTCAATTTGGCTCTTTTAGACTTAACTGGGAATTCCCAAAAGTTGACCATTTAAGTCATGGGTCGTCAACCTGGTCCCTACCGCCCACTAGTGGGCATTTCAGGATTCCAGGTGGGCGGTAGGGATTTCCTCAATTTCAGAGATCGGGAGGGCGAGTGCGAGCCGGCGTTACCCCTGCGACCGGGTACCGCCGTCACCATTTACAGCCACGCCGGGCCCGCCATCCAAGGGGTCCATCGGATGGCCCATGCTGTCAGGGCCACCCGATGGATGTGGATTGAGAGGGGGCCCGGTCAGTGCTGGGCGCTTTAACAGCGCGACCGGGCCCCCGTTATTACATCACGACTGCGCGTCACTCCTCCCAGCTAACAAACAGACTGCGAGAGTCAGACCAGAGAGGAAGACCAGAGAGTCAGAGTAGGAACTCTTGACTCCCATGCACCTGAGCCACCACTGGACCCCAGGGAAAGTTACCCTCCTGCACCTAAAAGGTAGAAAACAGGAGGGTGACTAAAATATTTTGTGTGTATGTGTCTTTGTATGTCTTGTGTGTGTCTATCTGTATATATATATATGTGTGTATGTATGTGTCTTGTCTTTGTATGTGTGCTTGTCTGTTTGTATGTATGTGTCTTTTTGTGTGTGTGTGTGTATGTATGTGTGCCTGTCTGTTCTAGTGGGCTACCTAGCTAAGCCTTCCTACTGGGCATTGCTATAAGGAAGGTTAAAAAAATAGAAAAAAGGGAATAAAAAAGGTGGGGAGGGGAATTGAGGAGGGAGATGAGAAATCATATTATGCGCAAACAGAGAAGTCATTTGAATATCACCGAAAGAGGAGACCTTTGTTTGTTCCTTACGAAAATCGAACCAGATATCAAATATTTAGTCTCGCAGCATCAACCTCAAGGATCTCATGAATCACTAGTAAAGGTAATTTCAATTTACTTTATTGTTTTCCCATTAAACTTTATAAAGTTAAAAACATTATAAACACGCATTAAGTAGAAATAAAAAGATAAATGTACGTACATTTATTTTTTTTAAATAACCCTCCTTTCTAAAAAATATTCCGCACTTGTGCGAAAACTGGTGGGCGGTAAGGAAATGTTTCCATCAAGAAAGATGCACTAGTGGGCGGTAGGTAGAAAAAGGTTAACTACTAGTGATGTCCCGAACGGTTCAGCGCGGATGGCGAACATATGCGCTGTTCGGTCCTCCCCCTATTCGTCTTCATTGAGTAAACTTTGACCTTGTACCTCACAGTCAGCAGACACATTCCAGCCAATCAGCAGCAGACCCTCCCTCCCTCCCACCTCCTGCTCAGTGAGTTTACATGTTAGAGGGAGTGGGGTATAGTGACAGTAACAGAGGGATTGAGGGCCCTGCTCAGTGAGCTTACATGTTAGAGGGAGTGGGGTATAGTGACACAGAAACAGAGGGATTGAGGGCCCTGCTCAGTGAGTTTACATGTTAGAGGGAGTGGGGTATAGTGACAGTAACAGAGGGATTGAGGGCACTGCTCAGTGAGTTTACATGTTAGAGGGAGTGGGGTATAGTGACAGTAACAGAGGGATTGAGGGCACTGCTCAGTGAGTTTACATGTTAGAGGGAGTGGGGTATAGTGACAGTAACAGAGGGATTGAGGGCACTGCTCAGTGAGTTTACATGTTAGAGGGAGTGGGGTATAGTGACACAGTAACAGAGGGATTGAGGGCCCTGCTCAGTGAGCTTACATGCTAGAGGGAGTAGGGCAGGCCCGGACTGGCCATCGGGCACACCGGGCAAATGCCCGGTGGGCCGCGGTGGCCGTGGGGCCGAGGCCGGCAGGGGAGGTCACAGGATCTCCCCTGCCGGTCTTTGCAGGGCCGGCGCTATCTGAACGCCGGCCCTGCAGTAGTCTACAGCGGGCCGGTGGGGAGATCAGAGATCTCCCTCACCGGCCCACATAGAGAATACTGCGGCCGCCGGGGGAGAGAGGGAGGGAGCCAGCCTGCCAGGAGAGGAACCCGGCGGAGCTTTAACTTACAGCTCCGCCGGGTTCCTCTCGCGAGATTCGGAGCGTTGCCATGGCAACGCTCTGGGTCTCGCGAGAGTGAACTCTAGCCCAACAGGCTAGAGTTCACTCACCACTAGGACCACCAGGGATGGCAGCCCCAGCAGTAGGATCTCCCCTCCCAGTCATAAGGTAAGCAGGGAGGGGGGATATAATCACTCATGTCACAGCAGCCTCACAGACACCCCTAACACTCCCAGCACCCTCACTTACACACACTGCACTCCTGACACTCACAGCACACACACTGCACCCCTGACACTCACAGCACACTCACACACCCCCTGCACGTCTGACCCTCACAGCACACACAAAATGCACCCCTAACACTCACAGCACCCTCACACACACACACTGCACCCCTAACACTCACAGCACCCTCACACACACACTGCACGTTTGACACTCACAGCACACACAAAATGCACCCCTAACACTCACAGCACCCTCACACACACACTGCACGTTTGACACTCACAGCACACACAAAATGCACCCCTAACACTCACAGCACCCTCACACACACACTGCACCCCTGACACGCACAGCGCACACAATGCACCCCTAACACTCAGAGCACCCTCACACACACACACTGCACCCCTGACACACACAGCACACACACTGCACCCCTGACACTCTCAGCACCCTCACACACACTGCACGTCTCACACAGCACAAACAAAATGCACCTCTAACACTCACAGCACCCTCACACACACACACTGCACCCCTGACACACACAGCACCCCTGACACTCACAGCACCCTCACACACACACACTGCACCCCTGACACTCACAGCACACACACTGCACCCTTGACACTCACAGCACCCTCACACACACACACTGCACCCCTGACACGCACTGCACCCCTGACACTCCCAGCACCCTCACTCACACACTACACGTCTGACACTCACAGCACACACAAAATGCACCCCTAACACTCACAGCACCCTCACACACACACATTGCACCCCTGACACGCACAGCACACACTGCACCCCTGACACTCACAGCACCCTCACACACACACTGCACCCCTGACACGCACATCACACACCCTCACTTACACACACTGCACCCCTGACACTCACAGCTTCCTCACATGCATACACTGCACCCTCACACACAGCTTCCTCACATGCACATAGCACCCTCATGCAAACACAGCACCCACTCACTGCACCCATCACACACACAGCACTCTTACCCACATAGCACCCTCACGCAAACGCAGCACCCATCACTCACACACTGCACCCCTCTCTCACACACACTACACCCCTTACACACACACACACACACACACACAGAGCACCCTCACACACACTGCGCAATATGCTTTCCTGGCATTTTTGTCTCCTGGTATCCCAACTATGGAGACACCAGAGACAAATTTCAAGCAAACACAGTGCAAGCATGTTATTAAATTTGCTTGCGCTGTGCAGAACAAATACAGGGTATTTTTCTCATGCCAGAGCTCTTCAGCAGAGCTCTGCGCATGGTCTACCCTGGAAGAGCATTGAACCAACATGCTCACTTTGTGATGGGGCGTGCTTGTCATTGGTGATGACAAAACACACCCTATCTGGCCCCGCCCCCTTTTTAGTGGGCCGCTGTAATTAAAAAATGCCCGGGCCGAATTTTCTTCCCAGTCCGGCCCTGGGATTGAGGGATTGAAGGCCTGCTCAGTGAGTTTACATGTTAGAGGGAGTGGGGTATAGTGACAGTAACAGAGGGATTGAGGGCCTGCTCAGTGAGTTTACATGTTAGAGGGAGTGGGGTATAGTGACACAGTAACAGAGGGATTGAGGGCCTGCTCAGTGAGTTTACATGTTAGAGGGAGTGGGGTACAGTGACACAGTAACAGAGGGATTGAGGGCCTGCTCAGTGAGTTTACATGTTAGAGGGAGTGGGGTATAGTGACACAGTAACAGAGGGATTGAGGGCCTGCTCAGTGAGTTTACATGTTAGAGGGAGTGGGGTATAGTGACAGTAACAGAGAGATTGAGGGCCCTGCTCAGTGAGTTTACATGCTAGAGGGAGTGGGGTATAGTGACACAAAGTGACACAAAAGGTAAGGGAAGAATTAGGAAAGTAGATTGGTCGTATAGTATACAATGAAGACTTAGTGTGGGGTTTTTTTTTGAGCCATTACCAGTTTAGTTGATATGCTTTTATGAAGAAGTGAGTTTTTAATGATTTTTTTTTGAAGGAGTGGAGACTGGGTGAGCGTCTTAACAGAAAATGGAAGGGAGTTCCACAGGAACGGTGCAGCCCTCCAGAAGTCTTGAAGGCGAGCATCAGAGGTGGGAGTACGGACAGAGGATAGACGCAGGTCTTCGACAGCGTAGGGGCATAGACGGGACATATTTGTGTATTAGGGAGGATAGATAGGTGGGAGCTGTTTATATCAATTATAATTGGAGCATTACTGTCTTTTTGGCTTTCTTACATTCATTGTGATCTTTGTGACCTCACTGCTCTACCGTATACACTTAATAAGGGATAATTCTAACATCACTGTAAAATTTGTTTTGTTTTTTAATGAAATAAAAAATTATACAAAATAGATGTTAATAAATTGTGGCTAAACTAATGCTATCTCAGTACATATACCTAAAGTTGCTATTTGAGTATATACATATATTTATTATGTCATAAAATGTCAGTTTATGAGGTTAAATGTGTTCTGGTACCTAAAATGGGTCTTCACAAATGGCATCCAAGGAGCCTACGACCACTGATGCTTCCCTTGCGAAGTTGAGAGTTGCA